TAAATGTAGCTGCTGAAAGTTTTACTCCATAGACAAATATTCCCGTCTATCGAATTCAAAATGGATACTGGCTAATGTTAAGTCCCAAGTTCATATCTACCTTACAGATCGACATAAGTCTCTACATCAACAATTTCACTTTGAAGTTTCATGACTTGCCACAAAGGAAGTAATCATCATGGTGGTATTTGAATGATATTTGAAATTGGAAAAGTAAATAAGGTTTTTTTATTGCTTTTACAGTGAAGAGACGCCAGCACAAGAATCAACGAGTGAGAAAGCGGCGAGCGAGAAAGCCCCATCCACAGACACCAGCACCGTGATCCAGAGCCCCCCTCCCCCTCCCACGCGGGAGAACACCAGCGACAGTCTGGAGGAGAAGCCGCCTGTTCCCCTCTCCATCAACATCACGTCTCGCTCTGAGCTGGAGAGGAAATCGCTGGATCTGCATATCGATCTGGACGCTTTGGGGCAGGGGTCGAAGCTTACAGGGCTCGAGAGACCGAAAACTGCACACGCCTTCAGACTCAAGAGTGCCAAGTAAGTCTTACCAATAAATGAACAAATGTACTCTAATGGTAGTGGTATTCATGAAACCAAAAGTACAATAACTTTTGTAAGGTCAACTGTTCAAACTACAAAGAGAAATACAAATTTAACTTAAAACCTTAAAATTCTACTTACTGAACAATAAGGAATAGTCTGTATCATCTTGTTACATTTGGATGCCTAATTGTGGGTTTCTATACATTTTCTAGTTAGCAATAAATTTAAAGTTATTGTATTTTCTGAACTAGATGTTTGCATCTCATTGACTGTCAGTCCTTACTGTACACTATGTCTTACACTGACTTATTCAACCTTATTTATAAGTGCTGTGACAGTTATATTGTGAATTCTTCCCCAGAAGCAGCGCTGTGAGAGTAGCTCGCCCAATGACGGCGTTTCCCGGCCCGATGTCCCGTTCCCTTGACGACGACCGACCGTGGAGCGCGTCCTCGTACCAGCGGCAGCGCACGGAGGCCTGGAAGAGCATGACAGATGTGGGCACTTCCACACGACCCGAGCCAATACTGGGTGGGTACTTCCTCTGTATTACAGTAGATTCTGAATATCTGTATAGCCCATTTGTCTGCGCATTTTATACAGTTACCCGGCCTATATGACATGACAAAGCATCCTAAAAGGAAGGGGCATATAGCATGTATCTTATTGTCAGTTTCTTTCATATAATTTCTCTAGTGAGGGGTACGGTAAATACCTTTGATGCAAAAAGTTGCAGGATAGTTAAGTTGGGACACCATGTGTTACGGCCAAATGAACTGTTTTTTCTCACCCTTAAATAAGCTCTTTGTTGTATTTGTGTATCTTGCCCTAAGAAGCAACTGCAACAGTTTTTGGAGAGTTAAGCATGTTTGCATCTTTTTCTGTTAGTTGTGTATTATACGACACCTGAGATAGAGCCATTACCTTTTGTTTCTGAGGTCTTTGTAACAATTTGTTCTCTATTCAACAGAGGCCCCACCCCCTCAGCGCCCCTCTTCCCCCATTGCCACCTCCAAACCCCCCCGCCACAACCCCCCCTACTACAAGACGGCTGAGAGCTGGCTGGCAGGGGGGCGGGACCTGTACCAGGAGAAGCGGAGGCCGAAGTCCTCCCACGTGCCGGGGTACCTGGAGGGGCTGTCCCCACGGCCAGCATCCGCTGCTGCTGCTCTCACTTTCAGGTGATGAGCACTGGCTTGATTTTTTTATTTATCTTTTATCTATTCTTTATTTCAGGCTCCAAAGGCCCATATCATTGCATAAATCTAAAAGCAGAAAGACATATATCATGTAAATGCATCAATACAGGTAAAAGTCAGTGAGATACAGTACAGTAGATTCATTACAGTTTGTAGACCAACACAGTGCTGCCAGTAGTTACTGCAGGTGAATTGTCATGTGAATTGCAAGCTTTGTGATACCATATGCACATAATATAGGTCACACCAGTTTATTACTGCAGAGTTCTGAAGTATGACAAACTTTATTTTTCAGACGTGGAAAGTCACCTCCCCCAAAGTCTGCTCCTCCATCCAGGGACTCTCAGAATGGTAAGACCTCTTGTTGTTTTACACCTGTACATGTACATACTGGTACTGTAGTAACTTTGACTTAACTGTGATATTCTTATTGCGAATCTCTCTCTCTATCCGGTTGAACATCTGTTGCTCCCCGTGTTCTCAAGGGTTAAAAGTGCTTGCAATGCATGCTGATGCTGAGGCAAATATTTACTAGTACTAGGTCAGTCAGCTTTCTACCTGCACAAGTAAATTAAGGCTCAAACAAACACACAAACTCTTGTTTCCTGTCCTTCAGGCCGTTTGAGTCGAGGTTCGGACATGTCAGACATCCCCACGCTGCCAGACTATCCCACCCAGGCCCGCCTGCACCACAGCAGCAACGTCCGGCAGCTGGGGACGCCGCCTTTCATCCGCAGGGGCTCATCACCCGCAGACATGACCTACAGATGACCTTTGGCTGACCTTCAAGTGACCTTCAGATGACCTACAGATGACCTTCAGCTGACCTTCAAATGACCTTCAAATGACCTACAGATGACCTTCAGCTGACATTCAAAAGACTTTTGACTATAGGTGTTGTTCAGCAGATATATAGATGACCTTAAAATGACCTTCAGCTGACCTACAAATGACATTCAAATGACCATGAGATGACCCATAGGTGACCTTGAGATGACCTATAGGTGACCTTCAGATGACCCATAGTTGACCTTCAGATGACCTACAAACAACCCTCAGATGGTAGCTAAATGTTAATCTCAAAGCAGATGTTAGGAGGAATTATTTGACTTTGAAATGTAATATGAAATGTAGTTTGTGTGACCCAAAGCTGACTGTGCTGCAAAGCATGTAGTAAAGAGATGTTAGTTTAGACCTGGGATAGAACTTTTATAACTTTGTTGTCAGAAAAGTGGTGCTGTCACTGATTTTTCACAAGTGAGAATCATTTGTCTAAAACAAACTGGCAGATTATATATCATTTCATAACATTATAAAGGTTTGAACTTATCATAAGATGATTCAGAAGCACAATTATTGAAAATGTATATTTTGAACATGTATATTTAGGTTGAAGTCCTAAAGTTACTGTTGAGGACGTAAAGAAGTGTACATTTATATATTTCCTAATGTTATTATTTGTGTGCAAAGTTTGTATGGAAGCATCCAAGATGCACTGTGTGTGTGTGTTATGTTGTGTAGTGACTTGTTTTGAAACATCAATGTACATGTGGGGTTTATATACATTATAATATACATATGCTCTTTCCAGAACTGTGCCTGTGTAAGAAACAGAGGCAAGCAGTAGAAACAGATAAAAACCCTTCTGGTCCCGGGCCGGGGTTCGAACCCACGGCCCCCGGGCAGCCAGCTTACAATCCGACGCTCCTACGTATACTGAATCAGCTAAAAGGTCTAGACCCATCGGCCGGGTCAGTTGGTAGCGCCTATAAACCCCCAACTGTTACACGTATGCTAATCTCCAAGCAGATCTTTCGGTGGCCACAAGACAGTATCCATTTGCCAGACAGTACATGTACCTTTAGTGGCAAATTGATACTGTCTGGCCAGTTTGATACAACCTTGCGGCTACTGAACGATTCGAGATTATGCCTGAGTATAGTTCTGGATAAAGCACGGTTCTGGATATGAGATTATGTAATGTTTTAGTGATGTGTCAATTTATGTTTTGTGCCAAAGAGATTAACACATGCCCAAGGCTGCTTTAGATTTTTTTTTATTTTAGAACACTGTGGACCAGCTAGTAAACTCTAGCATTATTGTATGATTTCTGAACTATGCACATGTCACATTTTGTTGGTTACACTGATTATAAAAGTGAATAACTACATGTAATGAAGTTAATAAAGTATTGTATTTTTCTGGTATATTGTGTGCTTTTCTTATGGTATGATTATTTTAAAGGAACTGAACCAACTACATAGACAAAAGAACAATCACAGAAAATCTTGCACTGACACTCTCTTTGCTAGAAAATGTTCACTGAGAATTATGCAATACTTCTTCAAGTCATACATTAGATGAAGGCAAAATCTGCTATATCTTTAATTTTTAACACATAGCAGTTTTCATAGTGTTGTTGAGCAACCTATTGCTGTTCACAATGCCAGTACCTTCAAAAACAAGTTAAAGTCAATAGATCTATTCACAAGAAAATATTTTTCATTATCTATAGTCTCAAACATTTTAAATGATAGTCATTTATACTGACAGCATTACTTTTTATTGCCTTTTCTACCATGCATAGAAAGTTACTGTCACAAGTTTCAACTCTAGACCTCAACAGGCTACTAGTACTTGCCTACAACAGCCTTAAGTACATACAACGCATTAAAACCCCGTACATACGATCGTGAATAGAAAGTCAGTGCTTATAGGATCCCCCAATCGGGGCCCCTTTTTAAGGGCCCCGCTACACAATATGTAATGTTTAACATTCAACGGTCGGGGCTTATTAAGTCCCAACTCTACTCTCCAACTGGTCGTTCTTGCCGTTATTTTCTTCGCCCTCGCCGCCAAAATCGGCAAAAACAGGCGCAGGCGACATTCATGTGGGTAGAACCGTGAGTTAGACCGTTGTTTGCGGGTGTACGGGCTGGGATCGCGGTGGATGGAAGGCTGGCTGGCGACATCGCCCTGACAGAGGCCTCGTGCCTACACTATACTGCCATCTTCTCTCCCACAATGCCGCTTGCGTCATGGACTAGTCCATTTCAAATTGGGGTGGATTTATAGTGCATATAGATATAATAGTTACAAAAATTAGTACGTTACCACAAAATTATGATATATTATATGTGATTATTAAATTTTTATCAATGTACAGGATTTATTTATATAGTTTGTCCACATTTTGGATATTAAGAGGGATTGGTAAAAACAAATACCCCTACTGGGTGGTACCATTCTGTAATCATGGCGGACGACGAAGAAATTGACATCGAAGGAGACGACGACGCGCCTTTGTAAGTGAATTTTCTGACCTTCTAGACTTTCGATCGTCGTTTGAAAGATACACAGACTTTCTGTAAATGTCTGGGAGTGCCCTGGTATCTTTGCTGGTTCGATTTGACGGTCGGTTTAAGAGAAAAACGCAAACAGATGCGCCGAGTTGAGGGACTGTTTACGGAAATTGAAGGGGGCGGGAACTTGAAAAGTCTAGTGCTCATTTCAACAACAACAACATATTTCACGGACACAAAGGGAGGCTCATTTGCAAGAGAGGTAGTTTCGGAACAATGCCGAGTCTGTTCTTGATCTGAGTCTTGTTCTAGGGTTTCATGGTTCGGCAAATTTCTGTGTTTATATGTACTAGAGAGAAACTGGCTGCTCGGGTTTTGCCTGCTTCCGGGTTTGGTAACGTACTAGCTAGATCGCTAAACTTATACGCACAGACTCGGCTATTCTTTTCCCACTAGTGGGCTCTACGTGTTGTTTGCTGGTAGACTGACGGCCCTGTGTGGCCCTGTCTTGTTTCCTACTCTCATGGAAACCTGTTGTTGCCCTCTCTCTTGTTTTATACGTCGTCTTTGGCACTTTTGAAAGGCCACAACTTAACGATTTATATAAAATACAGCTATAAAGGAGGGCCTGCAAGGGGGGATAGTGATTACGAATTACGCAAAATTTTCGCCGCCTACTACGAATTACGTTACAGTCTCAGAGCTGATTACGACTTTACGATTTGCGGGTAATGTCCAATTACGAATTACGTTGATTTTTGCGGAGGCTACCTACGAATTACGAAGTCTAAAACGGCCTGATTACGCCTTACGAAAAAGGACATGCAGGCCCTCATAAAGTTACAACATGTTTGCTACGAAACGACGCACTTTAGGCCACAACAAGTTGATTTAGTGGTTCCCGGAAATAACGCTGAACTATTACATTGACATTAAAACAGAGGCCGAGAAGCAGTTATCATATGCAATTATTAGAATTGGTTATAATGTAACAGTGAGGGGTTTATTGGTGCTAGCAACCGAACCGCCCAAGACCTTTTCGGCCGAGCGGTTAGAGAGTTGGACTGGTGCCCAGGAGGTGGTGGGTTCGAACCCTGGCCCGTGACCAGTGGGTTTTTATCTGTTTCTACTGGCTCCTCCAGCTGTTTCTTACAATAAGATACTAGCATTGCCATTACTTGCAACAACCAAGGAGGTTAAACTTACTTGCAACAACAATCACATTTGTTTTCTACTTAGTTGTTCATGTTTATTGTTTCCCCCAGGTTGTTTGACCACAAAGATGACGCCCTGGCCATACCCGACCTGCCTGGATATGAACCCAACTGGATGTTCGACCAGGGGCAGGTGAGATGTGATGTGATATGATATAGCCTCTACCAGGCTTCGGGAGGCGGCTAGAAAGAGTAGAAATTGGCCATCAACATGCCAGGGGAGTTGCTAGAGAGTACAGTTTGCCGCACCTGGCATGTTTTCTCTCTATTTGGCCAATATGTACATGTACTCCGTACTCTTTCCAGCCGCCTCCCGAAGCCTGGTCGAGGCTAATGATATCACTGAATTTTATGTGCCATTTTTTTTTTACCCCAGGCTTCTTTATCACTATGAAAATCAGTCCAGTAGAAACTAGGCTTCTCTGTCACTATGGCAGTTAGTCATTACAACCTTCAGCGTTGTTACCATCGGAACGTCAGAAGAATATACTGCGCCTGTGCAAAACCCTGATTTTTCACGGCCTTTGTTTGATGTTTGGTCAAAGTTGCATCAGAATTTTTGAAAATTTTTGAATGCTTGAAACATGCTTGACATAATGAGATAAAACCTTATCACTACTATACAGTACTAGTGGTACTGTAGTACTACAGAGTAAGAAAATGTTTTTTATGTTTCAGAGCTGGACGTTTGATGAGGACATGGATGAACAGAGTCGGTCGGCCATCGAGAAAATGCTGCAGGAGGAACAGTATCCTTCTCAGACTACTTAAGACTGTCAGTTTCACTTTCTTAGGCTACTTAAGACTTTCACTTACTTCTCAGGCTACTTAAGACATTCACTTTCTTGTCAGTAAAATTCAACTTAACATCTTTCCTAATTTTTTAAATGAATCAAATTAGATTTTCTTTAACCAAAGCGCAGACTCTACATACATGGAAGATCCCATTCTTCCTACCCGGGGGAGGCCAGCAGCAGTAAGTATATACATGTCCTCAATGTTTACAATAAAATCTGATATATTAAGTGACAGAAAAAGATATTCTTACACGTACTTATCTTTTTTTGATGATGAGTTTTGATCAGTGATACCAAGCCAGCGCCCTGTGAAACTCTAAGTTTGTGACTGGAGTTGTACACATTTACATTCAATCTAGATCCTATTCAAGATTTTAGGTGATTATTCTAAACCTTTCTTAGCCTTTCTTAGCCTTTCTTCACCATAATTTTTTTCTTGCAGGTCGAGGTAAGACACAGAAGTCCAAGACACGTGCGGCGCTCCACCTGCCGTCTCACGGTCAGCCTTGGACAGAGGAGGAGAAGAAACTGTTTGAGACAGGACTGGTGAGTACAGTAGACAGGAACACAAGTTACTTAACAAGAGTTTGAAGATCTCACATCTCCATGAAATATATCTCCATGAGCAAGAAGACCCAGGTTCAATCCCCAGGGTTGGACCCAGACATGTCCGGACATGCACCCAGACGTTGTGCCCTTGGGAAAGGCACTTAACACCTATTTCCCCCCTCAGTTAGAGGGTTCCTGGGCCCTACTAGGGTTTGGGTTGGCGTTAGGAAGAGCATCCAGCTATAAAAATCTTGCCTCAAAAAAAAAAAAAGACTTGTACCTGGTGCAAGCACGTCTAACCCCCGGTTGGGGAAAAATGACATTAAATTCGGTTTAAAAAAAAAAAGTGTCACACATGTATGTCTTTTGTAATGGAACTGGTAGTTCATAATTTATGCATACTCGCCTGAATATTCACTTGAATGCAGGTCAGTCTGTACCCTTTCCCAGGGTATTGAGACCGTCCATGTAGACAGTTCAGTATGAAAAGTTGTAGCCGTAACAGTCCGGGTGGTTTTTCCATTCTACAGCCAGTTTGGTCTTGAAGACATTGACTGAACTACAGTTTAGAGTAGACTAGGGTCACTCTTGTTGGAATGAAAGGGTACATAATGTATTGGAACTGACATGTAAAAATCAGTATGTAGACAGAGGTTGCACTTGTCTTCAGACTCGTCCTCAGTGGCTGGTGAAAGATGTGGATGCCATCTGAAACATCTGACAGTAAGAGAATCTGTCCTTATATAGACATTTCCACCTCTCTTGCAGGAGATCTATGGTCGAAGCTGGACCTCTATCTCCCAGTTTGTGCAGACCAGGACCCCGCTTCAGGTCAAGAACTACGCAAGACACTTCTTTAAGACTAAGGTAAGTCCTTCCTTAGACTTCTTAAAGATTTGTTGTCTACTTAAGTGTGGATGATTGTAATATGTGCAAGTGTGTATAACTCATGAGATACATGCTTATAAACCTGCATTTCTCCTCTGGTCTCCCAGTCACTGACGAAAGCTAGTGGATACTAGCTGAAACGTCTGACGTTTTCAAAATCATATCCAGTTGCTTTAGTAAGTTACTGATTTTTGGCGTATAAGATACATGTATGGGAAAAATAAAGTAATGTGGCTGAAGCGGTTGATTGCTTATTTCTTGATCATAACTTGAAAGTCTGACCGCTTCCAAAATCATATCATAACTAGAGGTCGGAGATCTCATGTCTTCGTCAGAGGTACATCGTTCTAGAGAAATTAACATGCGTATTCTTCACTCTTTTTAATAATAATCAATTTGGTCTAAAGAACAAAAGAATCTCTGTACTATTTTTATGGTACAGAACACCCTGAAACGGTTTGCCGCAGATTATACAGATGCGTCGTCACCCGTGTTACCGCCCCCCCTCCACGTTATTTGAGTTTGGACTGTTACTGGAAAAAAAAAACGTTCAAGAAATTCTTACTGTGTTGAAAGTGTCACGACAGCGCCGCAAAATATAATAAGAGAAGATGTTATAAAGGAAAGAATCAGAACAGGGTGACTACTGCTGTTTTGTTAATTTGTCTTTATGACAAATAGAAGACTTGTTTCTTGTGTTCTTTGTGTCCTAACATTTGTACTTCTACAGTTAGTATATTCCAAATCTAGGCATCTAGATTTATTGCGCGCTTGCCTTAAATTTAAGGTAATTAGATTTAAGGTCTCCAGTGGACGTCATCCATAGCAATTACTTGGTGTGGCCGTAGAAAATAACCTGACATATGTCCAACCTATCCTCCCCCTGCTGAAGTTATAGTACAATCCCTCAATGTAGCGTCATTTGATCCCATCCCATTATGGGGTTCCCCGGCTATATCCAGCTGTCGGCTGTCTCCAAGCAGATGTAGGTGGGGATTTCTAAACACAAAAGGTCCTATTACGGGGACATAACGACCTCCACGACTCTCATCTTTGAACTCAATCTTGGAGACCACGACAGTAATATGCCTATCAAATTTCATTAACTTCCATCCACACATACAAAAGTTATCCTGCTCACAAGAAAAATTAACAAAATGCCCCCTGTAGTCACAACGAAACCCCCCACGAAGCTCAGTAACGAACTTAACCTTGGTCCCGACAATAGTAAGCACAACACCAAGAATTATAATCAACATTTTACAAATACTTGAGTTATCTTGCTAACAAGCCACAAACACAAAAGGTGCACTAACGTGACGCACGGACCCCCCACGAAGCCGAAACTTGTACTTGACTTTGGCCTCAACAGCGGTAATATGCCTGCCAAAAATCATGGACGTCAAATCATGCCTTCCAGAGTTATATCGCAAAATCCGCAGTTCCCCACACTCCGGCGAGACAATTTCATAGTCCTTCTGACGAAGACAATAACTGTTTTTTGGTGTATCTTGATGGTGATGTTCAGTTGAAAAATGTGAATATCTGTGAGTCCCATTTTCTTTCTGTGTTAGGAACTTAGGAATTACAGCTTAAACTTTCTACAGAATAAACTCTACTAACACAGATGAACTTTCAAGTTGTGTGTAAGTCATGATTTTGTTTTGAATGGAGTAACTGTTCTTTTCTAATTTGTTTCCTTCTTCCCTGTTTTTGTATAGGAAAAAGAAGAAGAGCCTACAGTAACTGAAGATGACAGAAACAAACCTTCCTTCAGCGATGAGACAAAAATCTGTGCCTCTGCTTCCTCTGTCTCTCCGGGGACACCAAAAAGAAAAAGAGCCCAGGAGACAAAATCTGTCACACCTCAGAAATCAGAACAGACTCCCAAGAAAGCGAAAGTTGTAAGGAAGATGGAGGAAGTCTTGGGAGAAAGTGATTCAGTAGAGCAACAGGAGGAGAAAGTATTTGAGCTGAGTAAAACTACAGCCATTCCTGACAAGTATGGACACATGCAGGTGAGTAGAATGAGTGCTTTGTTAGACACAATGGCTTCAAATGTAAAGGCACAGTCTTGCCCATCTGGAGCAGTATATTATATAACATACACATACATGTATGGAACTAGGGCATCTTGCATCATTTCTTGACGGTCAATGGAAGTAATAAACATCAATTCAGTAGAGTTGAATGGGGCCAACCAGCTATTTGAAATTTTACTAAATGTATAAATGAATAAAAGGAATTATCCAAGCACAATGAAATGATTTTTTGCAACACACCTTTCTACATGTATACAGAAAATAGTGAATAATTATCAAGTCTTTCATTTCTTCTTTCTCTTGGAAGAAATGACAGGGTTTTAGTTGTGTATATGTGTCAGTGTTTCTTTGATTCCCAATACAAAGCCATACAACCCTCTGCTGATTTTGCCTGGGACTGAAGCAGATAGCATTGCATAGCAGAGTGGGTAAGGGGGTGAAGTCTGCCATCTCTGATTGCCCTGTGTGTGTGTGGGTAAGGGGGTGAAGTCTGCCATCTCTGATTGCCTTGTGTGTGTGGGTAAGGGGGTGAAGTCTGCCATCTGATTGCCTTGTGTGTGTGGGTAAGGGGGTGAAGTCTGCCATCTCTGACTGCCCTGTGTGTGTGGGTAAGGGGGTGAAGTCTGCCATCTCTGATTGCCTTGTTGTTTGTTCCACAGGTGGTCCAGAAGGTGGAGGAGGGGGAGGATGAGGAGGTGGATGTTGAGGGGGAGGAGTCTGGAGAGGAGGCAGTGATGGAGCTCAGGAGTACATGTACGTATCAGTGGGGACACCTGGTGTAGCACATCAGTACTGCAGGTGTAACTGTTACTAGCTTATTAAGTGTATATAGTTGCAGATCGTAGTTAGGGGAGGAGGCAGTGATGGAGCTCAGGAGTACATGTAGGTATCAGTGGGGCCACCTGGTGTAGCACATCAGTACTGCAGGTGTAACTTACTTGTATACAAGCTACATATAGGGTTGATTAGGTGATGTACATGTACCTATATGTATCTACAGTTGTGCATCTATCTGAAGCTTTCTGGTCTGCACCTATATCTACGTCTGGTCTATCTTACATGTACGTGTATCTATCAGATCTATCAGTGAGTACAATTACTTGTAAGCTTGCTGTGAACACACCTGCTCTATCTTTCATGCTTTAAAGAGGTATGATTGGTTTCTAATCAAGAAAGAGGGCTGTACTTTTAGTTCATGAAGAAAAGCCAAGTCTCACTTTTACCAGTAAACCACCATGTTCCTAACACACTGTCAGCAACTGTTCTGTACTTTGTAAGTTGGTAGCTTAGAAGTGACAAGTTTCATCTAAAGGAAGTTGTTGCTGAGGGCTAGAGGGCTTCTTATACAGAATCAGAATCTCCAACCACTGGGCCATATATTAGGGCTATTAGGAATCTTAACAGAATATTCTAAGATCTGTTTTCTATGTGTGCCAGTACAGGTGGCCTGAACCCAGCCCAACCTACAGTTGCTACAAGTGATGACACTTCCATGGGGGAACCCACACTGGAGCAAACAGACACAGAGGAGCATCATTCCTTAAGCAACATCTTACACGAAGACAGTGAGATCTCAAAACAGGAGAATTCAGAAGAAGAGAATCAGTATCCCATCGAGGAACACTTTCACCCTGCGGAAAGTGAAAGTGATGCCGAGTTTCCATGGCAACCAGATGACACCCAAAACCGGGTGATCGTGGAGAGAATTGAGGGGAGCGTTGCGCTTGGCTCTGTTAGAGTAGACAAGGACGTTAGGGCTGGTCCAACTCACGAACAAACCCTGTACCAGCCACATCCAGACATGTTCCAGGTACAAAACCCTCTCATAGAGTTTGAAAAGCCAACAGAAAGGGACGAAGAATTTCAGAAAACATCTGAAAGTAAAACTGAAGACACAGAAACACAGGCAGAGGCACAGGCGAACACTGGTCAGATACAAACATACGGAGATGACTTGAAGCTGATGGAAAACGTTGAAAGACTGTCAGAAACTGTTTCTTCAGGTGAAGTAGACTTAAAGTCAACCATCCAAGACATTGTGGACCAAGGTAAGACTTATAAGACACAGGAGGCAAATCAGGAACACAAATTAGAAACAGCTGATTGTGGAAATATACAATTGTCGCAACAAAGTACTTCAAGTGCGGAAGAATTTTCCACAGAAAGACTTGAACGTTTGGACACACTGTCTGTTTCTGTATCTGTTGACAACACAAATGCACTAACGGACTCCAGCAATGTTGCTGATAGTCACAACACCTTAGACATTCCTGAAGACAAGACCAAAACTGACTTAAACTTTGTAGGAGCTGAAAAATGGAACTGTGAAGAGGCCGCGTCATCACACACTGACAATCTTACTTATTATAGTGACAGTGAAAGTGGCAAGGAGACCGGGGAGCTTCTTAGATGTGGTACAGCATCTCAAGTACACTCAGAAGACGAGACATCTGAGACAGGGCAGGCGGAAGAAGCTTTCTTCACCTTTAAGAAGCCAACAGAAGAAGTTGTTCTGGACAGGAGTGTTGTAACAGAGGAGGAGAAGGAGGTGCATAAGGAGTTTTTTGACGGAAGACAGACGAAGACGCCGGAGAGATACCTGAAGATCAGGAACCATCTTCTAGACTGCTGGTAAGAAGTTTATTTTAACACTTGTTCCTTTTAGAAGCTTGAAGTTAACAAGAGTTCCAAGACCGGAAGTTTTGCTGCAGTACCAAGGTCATCCACCAGGAGGCCCATATTTGACCTTGACCTTTGTCTTCCTAAGACTTACCAACATTACCAAATATCATCATAATCCATAAAGGCGTTATGAAGTTATGTTGACTACAAATGTGCAGAAACACAGACAGACAGACAGACGCGCCAAAAACAATACCTCCATTTTTCATGGAGGTAATAATTATTATTAGCAAAGGAGAAATGGGTTCTGGACATCTACAGCTGGTGGGCTGTTAGGAGAGATATCTAAAGATAAGGAACAACCTTCTAGACTGCTGGGAAAGATATTAAGATGTCTTTCAAAGGATAGAATTGTCTTGAAGAAGTCTTGAGGAGTCAGAAACTCAGGACTTAAGCAGTAAGATTATTGGTTATATAACTGAAAACTTAAAATGCAACAAAATTATTGGCCAATTTGTAGTGTCTGAAACAAAAATCTGAGCTAAAACCTGGCCATTAGATATTTTTTGATGTGGAGAGTTGAGAGTTTTACAGGTAACGTTAAAACTATTTTGTTAGAATCTTTCAATCACTTTGGTTCATATCCTCCCCAGGGATCGGTGCAAGCCAGACTACCTGAGGAAGACGGTTGCCAGGGCGGGGCTGAGGAACTGTGGCGACGTCAACTGTATCGGCCGTATCCACGGTTACCTGGAGAGGATCGGCGCCATCAACTTCGGATGCGGTGAGTTTTTGTTACTCTTCTCCTAAGAAGTATCGTAAAGGATTGCTTTTTTCTGTTTGTAGATGGTGAATATATTTTTAAGACACAGATACTATATGTATTGCTGCCATATATGTAAAATTTAATGCTCTAATGTCCTTTCATAAGGTTGGAGATTATGTTGTGTAGTCAGTATGATTTGTTCACATCTTTAAATTGATATACTGTGTTGGAGGAAATTGGATTTGGAAATGTGTCTCGATCCAGTATAGCATACAGAAAAATTTATATTCAAGGACCAGCTAACATACAGTATATACATAGGTTTGGCACACTCTTACTCAGGTTGACTTTAGGTTCTGTTGTTAGGGCACTTGAGGCTGTTGCTACTAGGATACCTCAAAACTGATGCTAGGATAATCATCAGGACTGTAGCTAGGATATCTCAGATTCTGTTGCTAGGATATCTCAGGTTCTGTTGCTAGGATACTTCAAATTGTTCTGTTGCTAGAATACTTCATGTTCTGTTGCTAGGATACTCAAACTCGTCAAAGCTGTTGCTAGGATACCTCAGGTTCTGTTGCTTATCTGTGCTACAAAGTGAGACATACAGTTTCAGGGATATTCTATATATACATGTACTAGTACATGTTCTCTGACTCTGAGGTCTGTTTTCATATAGAGCGTAATTTTGACTTCATGATCTGTATCTGTATCTGTATAGCCGGTATAACCGTCCTTCAGCGTAACACACCAGCTTCGCAGGCACGCGGCGCGGCGGCAGCTAGCTATGATGGCTATGAAGGAAATATATTGCTGAAGCCTGCACAAAACAAACATACAGTAATGTCAATTTTGCTAGAATTGCTGCCATGCATCAGTACTGAAACCACAGCTGGTGCACCCACTCTTCTCTTCAGGATGTTTTCCCAAGGGACTGATTTGTTCTGTCAGGCCATCTATTGATACATCATGATTTAATGGCTGTGACAGTACAGGTGTTCTTTCAAAGTAGAGATGGTGTATTGCTTTTGTTCAGGTGAATAAGATGTGGTATATTTTGGAGCGGAACTTGAAATATTTTGGGCTGTTTTCTGCAATTTGAATTATCAAAATGTTTTTCTGAAAGTGCAATGTAGAAAAATCTTCTGCAAAATAGTTCTAGACTGTTTTTTTTCCCTATTATAACCTATTACATGTACCTCTCCTGGCTATTACGCTAACAATAGCATTTCACTTTAATGGTCTTAATTAATTATTGGACCCATTTCAACCTAAAAGGACAAAATTACTAGGATTATTGTCCTGCAAATTGCAATTCGTTTTGCAGTTTCAATTTTTTTCCACCGGTGTTATTTTGAATCCCCAGGATTCAAGCCATTATTTCATTCAAGCCCAGTGGAGATTTCCCTTCTAAATGTCAGCAGCTAATCACAAAGCTGTGTTCAGTCTGGCCTAATGGCCTGGAGAGTTTAGTCAAGCAGCATTTATTTTCACCTGCAATCTAGAAAAACATTTTGATAAATTGCAGGACTGGTAAACACGGAGACTGGTAAGTGCTTAAGCCATTAGTGCATCACTCAGTCAAAAACACTCACATGTCACACCAATTTATTTTTTGGTTCTCAGATATTTTATGGAATCTAAATTTTAGCCTAAGTGGCAAGATGCAAACAAACAGAGAGTTAAAACTTGAAACTGAAAAAAATCTCTCAAGGACTTTCTCTTCAGTCTCAGTGATTTCTGAGTGTTTTCCTGTTCATTTTCCTGAGTTCTACTTCAAGAACCAACCATTTAACTTGGCACAGCCTAGACATTTTCTGGATGCATTGAGCCTGTCAACAGCACATAAAAGCGTACATAGTAATATCAATATGCATTAAAAAATGTGAGAGAGAAAAAATTGATTTTATTTACTATCAAGGTACAGACTTTCCTCCTCAGACTCAGTTTGACTGAGTGTTTTCCTGTTCATTTTCTGTTCTGCTTCTTTAAATCCACATATTTCGATGCCAAAAAACTACCAGTTAACTTGGAACAGCCCAGACAGTGTTGTCTGAATGTGCTAAGCCTGTCAGCAGCACATAAAAGTGTACATAGTAGTATAAGAAGAAATATGCATGTAAAAACAGAAAGAACAGGTTATATTCACTCAATGTTTTCCCCTCAGACTAAGTTAATGTTTTCCTGAGTTTTGCTTCTATAAATCCCCAAACCAACCAGTTAACTTGGCATGGCCCAGACGTGTTGTCTGGATGTGGTAAGCCTGTCAGCAGCACATAAAAGCTTCCATACTGATATCAGTGAAAGAAAAAAGAAATTGGTTATTATATTTACTTATGATCAACATACTCAGTTTGAGTTCTGCTTCAGAATGTCAGAATCCCCAAAACAACTATTTAACTTGGCCCAGCCCATACATGTATGTTGTCTGGGTGTGCTTAACCCGTCAGCAGCACATAAAAATACATAGTATTGTCAAATTGAATACACATTTAATAACAGAGAAAATTGTTTACATTCACTCAAGGTACAGACTTTCCCTTCAGACTCAGTTTGAGTGTTTTCTTGTTCATTTTCTGTTCTACTTCTTTAAATCCACATATTTCGATGCCAAGAAACAACCAGTTAACTTGGCCCAGCCCATATGTTGTCTGGATGTGCTAAACCCGTCAGCAGCACATAAAAGCGTCCGTCTGTGGTGAGTAGGGCAGGTTGTCCCGCGGGGGACGGTGCGTTTATTGGATTATTGGACCAGCCCTGATGTAAACGGGGAGGCACAAAGGACAGACGAGCTGCGGGCCTCGCAGAGGTGAACAACCAACGGGACACGCTCTGCATACGGACAGGATTTCTGGGAACTGCAACAAAACCCTGAAGCACAATTCTGTGATGTTTTAAGACAGACAGAGAGAGGGAGAGTTCTGTGAAATCTTCAAGGTGCTTGACCAGGTGAAGATGCAGGTTTGAGGTACCTGCAAGGATTTCTTCTACATCTCAAAGGAAGGAGGAAAGAGATGATGCTCTGATAGCTATCCTGTCAGCCAAGCAGCATCTTCTTAATTACACGTGATATTGAGAATCCTGCAAAGTCTACAAGGTACTGAAGCTTGGGAAGAAGATATAGTCTTGAGGTTCGTGCAGGGATTTCAATTTTGTCTTGGAGGCAAGAGGAAGGCAGCAATTCTCTCACACAGTGATTCATGTATTTACCACTGGGAATTCTGTATCACCTACAACAAGATGCGTGCATGTGGCCATCTCAGGATTACATCTTAACTGATTGCTTCAAAGGTATTCGTTTTCATTGTCTTGGATTTGAAGGAAGAGAAAAAAGGATGGAGCTTTGTCCTTGAAGGTACAACACCTTTCACACACCTTTATTTCCACCTGGATACCTGGATATGTTAATAGCACACCTTGACTGTACACAATGCATACATAGCTCAGATATTCTGCAAGCTGTCATGTGCTAAATACAGAATGTGGCAGCTATAATTATAGTATTCAAAAGCTATTGTAGATTCATTGAATGCTGGAGGGATTTTTCACCACATGCAAATGGAGGATCCGTGTTGGGAGCAGCGCTAACATAATTACACGGACACGGGTTTGTTGATAAATGGTGTCGGCTTACGGAATGGTGTCAAATTACAGTATGCAGTATTGGGTTACATATGCATGTATTACAGCCTAGCAACCAGTAAATAATATTATAGAAATAATACAGTTAGCAACGGACAGGGTTTAAAATAGATGCATAATTATAGATATATGCTATGTTGGTTAATATTTATTATACTGTAGTCTTGCTATAAGATACCCTCGAAAGGATTAACTCTAAAATCTTACATGTAAGCTTAGCTGGATTAGCTTATCAGAAAGCTTAGAGGCAAACTGATCTTATTCAAGGAGCTTAGCTGATAATTTTCCTGTTGTAGCAAATATACAGTTAATGCTTACTGTATTAGTACCTTCAAGTTAGTTTAAGCCGTTGATGACTTAATATCTGGCTGTGTATCAGCTTGTAAGAATAGATCAGAACCAACAACAGTTCTCAATATTCTAGGAGCCAGTTTTAGATTTTGTCTGATCCATCCAAGCTGACTGTTATAGAAAGGCTTGAAGAGATTAAGCTGTTTATATTGTAGGAGTTTCAGTTTTAATTTTGTCTGACATGATTTTTCTGACTTCTCCAAGCTGACGATTATACAAGGGCTTGAAGAGAAGGCTGTTATTATCCAAGCTGGTTGCAGAGATCCGAACACTGAAGAGAATCTTGTTGTTATTCTCCAATCTTGCTGCAGAGAGCCACACTCAGTCTGCCCTCTGTACCATCAAGGTCATCTTATTTCTGGAAGCATCCTTGAGGAAATAGCAACGTCCGTAAGCGTTGCCAAGGCAACCGCGTCAATCAAGGACAGAGCGTGGGTTAGTCGTGACAAGTGGTGTGATGTTGATTGGCTGGTCGGATTCTCGGAAATTGCCATTTACGGAATTCGCGGCTGCTTCATTGTATGCAGAAACAATTGACCCACTAGGAGACTAGCAACTGAGACTGTAGATTGGTTATACATAGACTATCGCTTCACTTTGTCCTCAGTTGAACTCTCAAAGCTTCAGAGCATTTAAAACTGCAATATTGATTGGCTGCCTGGATTTCTCGGAATGCCATTTACGGAATTCGCGGCTGCAGCATTGTATTCAGGAACAACTGATTTGCTTGGAGACTAGGAGACTAGACTGTATACGGGTAGTATACAAACGATTATAATACTTCACCTTGTCCTCAGCTGAACTCTCAAAGCTTCCACCGAGCATTTAAAACTGATTGACTGCCTGGATTTCTCGGAGTGCCATTTACGAAATTCGTGGCTGCAACATTGTATGCAGGAACAATATTGACCCACTAGGAGACTAGCAACTGAGGCTATAACTTCACTATGTCCTTAGCTGAACTCTCAAAGCTTCAGAGCATTTAGAACTGCTTCAGGCAGTGAAACGCAGAGTGTGTTTCTTGG